AGTTTATTAATTTCTACTCCAATGTTTCTAGTTGCTTAGTAACTGGGGGTTAGGCATGAAACCCATGTCAATTTTCACGTCAAACGGCGACTTGAAATATGAGTATGCAAAGTACTTTAAGTTTACGACTTGTTGAGTAATCGGGTGCTTTCATCACAAATGTTAGTATTCGCATCAAAAGACAAGTGATAACTTAGGGAAGAATGTGTTGTATGGCTGAAGAAAAGAAAAAAGAAGAAGAGAAGTCGAATGTTTCGTGGCCTTTGTTGCTTGAGTAAGTATGTTCTTAGGGGTGTCTCTTCACCTAATGCCCTAAAGCCAACTGGTTTGGGAGTCATTGACAAAAAGCTCGTTACATGGGTAACTTAGAAAGCCTAAGGAAACTCGACCTATGAAAAAAAAAATTTAAGGAAAAAAAAAAAGATAGTAATAAGTGTTAAGGTGTGAAGATCTAAACTCGAAACTTCTTACTATGAATTTCCACACACACACACAAAGTGCTCATGGGCTAAATCTTTTAACAAGTGGTGTGAAAAATATGATGAGTATCTAACTTTAAGTGAGTATATGAAAACTCTTGAATATTTGAGATTTTGTATTTAAATGAATTTTAATTTCTAAATTTTTTTTGCATGCATATCATGTAGTTACATTCTTGCATTGGGATTTTGTGGGTAGATCCACTGCAAACCCTCACGAGACACAACTCGTCCACTAGGGTGACTTAGGAGTTTAAAGGCTTGTTGCACATGCTAAGTGCAATTGTGATTCCTACGAAAGTGAGTTAGGTTTTATTTTTGTTTCTTTTGTCTTTTTATTTTACTCGAGGACGAGTAAAACTTAAGTTTAGGGGAATTTGATGAGCTAAATTTATATACATATTAATAGGGAATTTTTACTTTGATATTATTGATATTTGGATGATTTTTATGAGATTTTGTTTGATTTTACATGGTTTTTATTCTTTGTGTAGGAAAGGATTTAATTGGAAGAAATCTTACTTTTTAGAAGTAAATTGAAGAAATTAGAGACTTGAGGATCAACTTGTGCAGAATCCAAAAGTCAGGAACTAAATCTGCTATATTACCATTGAAGAAATTGCAAAAGGAGACCCCAAACCCGACACAGGTGTAGTGTCGACACATGATCGGGATGTCGACACCATGCGTTAAACGTCCAGAATCAGATCCTGTTTCCTATCTTGTGTCAACACATAATCCGAAATGTCAGCACCACGCAATCAGCATCCAAAATTTAGTTTCCTATTTCTGTTCCAAGTCCTACTTCTATTTCAATTAGGGTTTCTAAAATCCTATAAATACCCATCCAAATTCAGAATTAAGAGAGTTTTGAGAGGCTAGTGGCAGCCCTCTTTTGGGCATTATTGGAGATCAAGATTGAGATTCCATCAACAATAGAAGATCAAGGAGTTCGATTTCCTCAAATTGGGTTTTATTTTTCCTTGGGTTTTTATCTATTGTT